GTCCCACTGGAAGAGAGAACCCAACTTTTTGTATTCATGGGACGCCCAACTCCGCTCTCTCTTCTGATTGGGGTCTGTCTGCGAGGGCGGGTTGGGGGAATGGGGGGTCTGGGGGAGGGGGGAGGGGGTTTTTTTTTTTTTTTTTTTTTTTTTTGTCTTCGGCTGTACTGTTACTGTTGTGGGATATTGTTTTGGTTTGTTTCTCTCTTTTCTTTTTTTTTTTTTTTGCTTTATGAGTTTTATTGTTATTTTTTCTTTCTTTTATTCCTTTTCTTCGAAGGCAATGATAATTATTCATATTCGTGTTACTATTATCACTTTTTTTTCTTTCTTTTTACAACCCTTGTTCTCTTATCAATGGGATTATTTGTTTTCTTATTCTCGCATATTGCTCCTATCGTTCTTCTTTTACTGCTACTATTATCGCTATTTCTGCAATTTTCCTCATTATTTTTACTATACCTCTTCTCTCTATCTATCTATTTATCTATCTTTCTCTCTCTCTCTTTTCTCTCTCTCTCTCCTCTCCTCTCGCTCTCTCTCTCTCCTCTCTCTCTCTCTCTCTCTCTCTCTCTCTCTCTCTCTCTCTCTCTCTCTCTCTCTCTCTCTCTCTCTCTCTCTCTCTCTCTCTCTCTCTCTCTCTCTCTCTCTCTGCCCATTTCCTTTCTTCACTTTTAAATTTTTATTTTTTTTCCTTCACTTTCCTTATCATCTTTTTACTACTTCTACTGAATTTATTTCTTGTTCTCTTCCTGTTCCCTCTATCTTTTTCGTATTTCTAATTATTCATTTATTTATTTGTTTGTTTTTTGTTACTAAAATCATTCGTATAAAAAAATCTCGATCTATTCAATAATTACATTATCATCACTTGTATTAGCACTAACATCTTCACCATTGCTGTTCCTCATGAACAATCTTGACTTTTGTTATACATACTAATGTCTCTAAGACAATCTCCGTACATGGAGTGATATTAAATATACACCATATACCCTTATCATTGCAATAATAATAGCAACAACCATTTTTTTAATTCTTTTATTTGTTTATTCATTTTCATTTACTTAATCATTCATTTTTTAAGTTATCATTATTTTTATTATTTTATTTATTATTCATTTATTTTATTTATTTTATTTATTTATTTATTTATTTTTTTTTTTTGGGGGGGGGTTATAGCACTTCTCGTTTCTTAAAAAATGTCAGTATCAAGGGTGACTATTTTTTGTCTTCTTCGTCGCCAGTACTGTAACTACATATATAATTTCTCAACAACACAGTATGTGCTTCATTGTCAGCCTCCATATGTTCAGTAATCTTCCTTTCTAAATATATAATTGTTTGATAAGTAATTTATTAATTGAATTATTCACTGACCAATTTCATTTTAACGTTTCTATATTCCACTTGTTCAGAAATTTACTAGTATGTCTATTCATCAATTTCATCATACATTTGTAGGTTTCTTGGTTTGTCAACAGAATTAAGTTTCTGATGAATAGTGATGAGAATTAGCTAGATTACCTCTGGTAGTGATTTGGGGTAGATGAGTAGATGTTTCGGTTGACTAATTAGTAGATAATTAATAGATTTGTGACAAGGAGTGGGTATTTGGAATAGATTAATGATAATGAAGGGTACCATAGGCATATTTTCAGGTAGATGATTAAAGATTTATTTTCAATTCTATTTGTTACAGTGGATATTCTTTGCTGCAACATACTGTTTAATTTTTCTTCAACCCCCCCCCTCCCCTGTGTGCAAGCAATGGCCGGGGTTGCCATCCACTGGCAGCGCGCAGGGTCGAACGCAGGTCAGCAAGATTGCTAGACCAGCACGTTCCTATTGCACTACACAGCCGCAGATGAGGGTAGATTAAGAGGTTGGAATGAGTTTTGCAGTAGACTAGAGTTGATGAGGGTTCGTCTTTTTTTTCTCTCTCTCTTTCTTTCTTTCTTTTTTCTCTCTCTCTTTCTTTCTTTCTTTCTTTTTTCTTCTTCTTCTTAGGAGATTAGAAGTCTATCGGCGAAAATTTGCGGTTTCCGAGATCTGTCTACTTCCTTTTCTCATTTGTGCGTTTCCTTCTTATTTATTCATCTACTTATCTACAGAAAAATAAGAGAAATGAGAGGAATCCGAACGCGTGGATCCATTTCGGATTTGATGTTTGAGAATTTGACGCGAAAACCCATTAATCACCGAAACCTTTTCGAAATTGAATTCAGTGAAAAAAGAATAAAATCTTTTCCGAAACGCGTGTCCAATACCATGGATATTATCTCTTTATCTCCCTCTCTCTCTCTCTCTCGCTTTCTCTCTCTTCCACTCTTTATCTCTCTCTCTCTTTGTTTCTCTCTATCTCCCCCCCCCTATCTTTTTATCTATCTCTCCCTATCTCTCTCTTTCTCACCCTCCCTCTCTCTTCTTCTCTATCTCCCCCCCTCTTTCACTCTTATTGTCTTTGTCTCCCCCCACCTCTCTCTCTCTCTCTCTCTCACTCTCTCCCCCCCTCTCTCTTTCACTCTTTCTGTCTTTGTCTCCCACCCACCTCTCTCTCTCTCTCTGTTCCCCCTTTTTTTTCTCTCACTCTCTTTCCCCTTTCGTCCAATTTTCTATCACATTCCCTTGTCTCCTGTCTTTTTTTTTTCCTAAAATTCTAACCAAAGGAAGTTTCCTTAAAATACTCGAAAACGCCATTCTAGTCCTAAGAAGAAAGAAAGAAACAAACAAAGTAAATAATGGAAGCTAAGATGGCTGACGACTTCAGTTCATTGCCATGCGCTCTGCTAACCTAATAAGGATCGCCGAGAGTCTTCGTCTTGTCTGTAAATGGATTTGTACCTTCTACTTCTCCGCGCATACTTACATACAAATATACTTTTACACGTTAGCAGAAACACGCACACATACGCTAAGGGAATAGTTATACACACAGAAACACAGACTTATATATTCTCGTATACTCTGTTCTTTTTATTATTATTTATTTTTTTATTTATTATTATTATTTTACTCTCTCTCTTTCTCTCTCTCTCCGTCTCTCCCTCCTCCCTCCCTCTCTATCACTCTCTCTTCTCTCTCTCTCTCTCTCTCTTCTCTCTCTGTCTCCCTCTCCTCCCTCCCTATCACTCTCTCTTCCTCTCTCTCTCTCTCTCCCCGTTTCTTCCTCCCTTCCCTTCCTCTCTATCTCTATCTCTCACCCAAACATGCACAAACACACATTTAAGAATTAGTGTTGTTGTAGACCTAATTCAGTCTTACCTTTCTCGTCCAGCTGACTACAGGTTTGGATGCGTTTAGGTGATCCTCTGACGTCATGTTAATAATTTCCATGACGTTTAAAAAGTCATAGAATTTTTGCTCTCCTGAAGTTGTATATATACTATATATATATATATATATATATATATATATATATATATATATATATATATATATATATATATATTATATATATTATATATATTATATATATAATATATAATATATATAATATATATCTTCTTTTTTTTCTTTTTTCTTTTTCTTAGTCTTTAGTTTTCTTTTTTCTGTTCTTTTTATGCGCTTAATTTAGTTTTAGTATATTTTTTTTATGTTTTTTTGCGCTATTTCTGTGCTTGATTTACTTTTAGTTTGGTTTAGCCTCTCGCTCTGTCTTGCTTTCTGACTTGTCCCTCTTTTCTTATGTTTCCTTTTCTCTTTATTTCCCCCTCTCTTTCCCTGCTGCATTGTATATCTTCTCCTCCATCTCCTCTCTCTCTCTCTTCTCTCTCTCTCTCTCACAATCTTTTTATATTTCTTTATCTCTTTCTCCCCTCCCTCTCTCTCTCCCTTTTTTCTCACCTCCCCCCCCCCTCTCTCCTCTCTAATCCTCTCCCTCTTTGCTCCCCCCCCCTCTCTCCTCTCTCATCCTCTCCTTATTTCTACTCCTCCCTCTCTCCTCTCTCATTCTCTCCCTCTTCTCTCCCCCATTGCACCCTCCCCTTCGATACCCCATGATCAACCCCTTCGCACACCCTGCCATATATCCCTTTCCCTCCGACTCCCACCAAACCCAAGTCCCTAGACTCTTTGGACCTCAAACCCAAGTCCCTAGACTCTATGGACCTCAAACCCAAAGTCCCTAGACTCTATGGACCCCAAACCAAACCGACTCCCACCAAACCCAAGTCCCTAGACTCTATGGACCTCAAACCCAAGTCCCTAGACTCTATGGACCCCAAACCCCAAACCGACTCCAACCAAACCCAAGTCCCCTAGACTCTATGGACCTCAAAACCCAAGTCGCCTAGACTCTATGGACCTCAAAACCAAAACGACTCCCACCAAAACCCAAGTCCTAGACTCTATGGACCAAACCCAGTCCCTAAGACTCTAATTGGACCTCAAACCCAAAGTCCCCAAGTAGACTCTATGGACCTCAAACCCAAGTCCCTAGACTCTATGGACCTCAAACCAAAACGACTCCCACCAAACCCAAGTCCCTAGACTCTATGGACCCCAAACCAAGTCCTAGACTCTATGGACCCCAACCTCAAACCAAAAGACTCCACCAAACCCAAGTCCCTAGACTCTATGGACCTCAAACCCAAGTCCCTAGACTCTATGGACCTCAAACCCAAGTCTAGACTCTATGGACCCCAAACCCAAGTCCCTAGACTCTATGGACCTCAAACCCAAGTCCCTAGACTCTAATCTCAGGTGGACTCTATGGACCCCAAAACCCAAGTCCCTAGACTCTATGGACCCCAAACCCAAGTCCCTAGACTCTATGGACCCCAAACCCAAGTCCCTAGACTCTATGGACCCCAAATCCCAAGTCCCTAGACTCTATGGACCTCCTAGAACCCAAGTCCCCTATGGATCGTCTCCTATCTATGGACCTCAACACCAAAACCCGAGACTCTATGGACCAACCAAAAACTCCTAGACTCTAATGGACCTCAAACCAAGTCCCTAAGACTCTATGGACCCGCAAACCCAAGTCCCTAGACTCTATGGACCACCCCAAACTCCAAGTCCAGACTCTTATGGACCTTCACCAACACGAACCAACCTTCCTAAGTACTCTATGGACCTCAAACCAAAGTTCACCTAAGAACTGCTCTATGGACCCCAAACCCAAGTCCCTAGACTCTATGGACCTCAAACCAAGTCCCTAGACTCTATGGACCCCAAACCCAAGTCCTTAGACTCTATGGACCTCAAGCCCAAGCCCCTAGACTCTATGGACCCCCACTCAAGTCCCAGAGACTCTAAATGGACTCCCCAAAAAGACCATAGTCCTAGACCTCTATGGACCCCCAAACTCAAGTCCCTAACCTCTTATGGACCCCAAACCAAGTCCCTAGACTCTATGGAACCCAAAACCCAAGTCCCTAGACTCTATGGACCCCAAACCCAAGTCCCGAGACTCTATGGACCCCAAACCCAAGTCCCGAGACTCTATGGACCCCAAACCCAAGTCCCGAGACTCTATGACCCCGAAACCCAAGTCCCGAGACCTCTATGGACCCCAAACCCAAGTCCGAGACTCTATGGACCCAAACCCAAGTCCCTAGACTCTATTGGACCCCAAACTCAAGTCCTAGACTCTATTGGACCCCAAAACCCAAGTCCCGAGACTCTATGGACCTCAACCCAAGTCCCTGAGACTCTATGGACACCAAACCAAGTCCCTAGACTGGACTTATGGACCTCAAACCCAAGTCCCTAGACTCTATGGACCTCAAACCCAAGTCCCTAGACTCTATGGACCCCAAACTCAAGTCCCTAGACTCTATGGACCTCAAACCCAAGTCCCGAGACTCTATGGACCCCAAACCCAAGTCCCTAGACTCTATGGACCTCAACCATCCCTAGACTCTATGGACCTCTCCAAGTCTAGACTCTCCAAACCCAAGTCCCGGACTCCTATGGACCCCAAACCCAAGTCCCTAGACTCTATGGACCCCAAACCGCAAGTCCGAGACTATAATGGACCCTCAACTCAAGTCCCTAGACTCCTAATGACCATCAACCCAAGTCCCAGACTCTATGGACGCCTCAAACCCAAGTCCCTAGACGCTATCGGACTCAAATCCTGCAATTCCCTAGACTCTATGGACTCCCAAACCCAGTTCCCGAGAACTCTATGGACCCCCAAACCCAAGTTCCCGAGACTCTATGACCCCCAAACCCAAGTCCGCGATATAAGACTCTAGGCCACCGTCAGACCCAAGTCCTAGACTCTATGAAGCCTCACACCGTATCTACAAAGTCCCTAGATCTATGGACCTCAACACGCAATGTCCCTAGTACTCTAATGGAAACCTCAAACCCAAGTCCCTAGCTCTAATGTCGACCGCCAAATCATTCCCTAGACTCTACTGACCCAACCCACAGTCCGAGACTCTATGACCGCAAACCTAAGTCCCTAGACTCTATGGACGACCAAACCAGTCCGAGACACTCTATGGACCCCAACCCAAGTCCCTAGACCTCTATGGATCCGCCCAAACTCAAGTCCTAGACTCTATGGACCCCCAAACCCAAGTCCCCCGAGACTCTATGGATCCCAAACCCAATCCCTAGACTCTATGGACCCCCAAACCCAGTCCCTAGACTCTATGGACCCCAAACCCAAGTCCGAGACTCTATGGACCCCAACCCCAAAGTCCCTAGACTCTATGGACCCCAAACCAAGTCCCGAGACTCTATGGACCTCAAACTCAAGTCCCTAGGACGCCCAAACCCTCCCTATGGACCTCAAACAGCCCAAGTCCCGAGACTCTATGGACCCCAAACCCAAGTCCGCGAGACTCTATGGGACCTCAAACCCAAGTCCCTAGAACCTCTATGGACCCCCCAACACGCCCAGTCCCGAGACTCTATGGAAAAACCCAGTCCCTGAGACCTCAAGTCCGCGAGACTCATGATGACCTCAAACTCAAGTCCCTAAGACTTCTCATGGACCTCAAACCCAAGTCCCTAGACTCTATGGACCCCAAACCCAAGTCCCGAGACTCTATGGACCTCAAACCCAAGTCCCTAGACTCTATGGACCCCAAACCAAGTCCGAGACTCTACCCAAGTCCCGAGACTCTATGCGACCTCCCGAGACTCTAAACCCAAGTCCCTAGACTCCCCCAAACCCAAAGTCCCTAGACTCTATGGACCAAACCAAGTCCCTAGACTCTATGGACCCCAAACCCAAGTCCCGAGACTCTATGGACCCCAAACCCAAGTCCCGAGACTCTATGGACCTCAAACCCAAGTCCCGAGCTCTATGGACCCCAAACCAAGTCCCGAGAACTCTATGGACCTCAAACCAAGTCCCGAGACTCTATGGAAACCTTCAAACCCAAGTCCCGGACCTCTAATGGGATCCCCAAACCCAAGTCCCTAGACTCTATGGACCTCAAACCCAAGTCCCTAGACTCTATGGACCATGGACCTGAACCAAACCCAAGTCCCGAGACTCTATGACCCCAAACCAAGTCCCTAGACTCTATGGACCCCAAACCCAAGTCCGAGACTCTATGGACCCCAAACCAAGTCCCGAGACTCTAGGACCCCAACCCAGTCTAGACTCTATGGACTCAAGCCCTCTAGAACCCAATCCTCCGAGACTCTATGGACCTCAAACCAAGTCCCTAGACTCTATGGACCAAACCCATAGTCCTAGACTCTATGGAACCTCAAACCCAAGTCCCTAGACTCTATGGACCCAAACCCAAGTCCAGACGCTATGGACCCCAACCCAAGTCCGAGACTCTATGCGACCCCAAAACCCAAGTCCCGAGACTCTATGGACCCCAACCAAGTCCTAGACTCTATGGACCCAAACCAAAGTCCCGAGACTCTATGGACGCCCAATCCAAGTCCCTAGACTCTATGGACCTCCCCCAAGTCCCTAGACTCATTGGCCCCAAACCCAAGTCCCGAGACCTCTTATGGACCCCCAAACACAAGTCCAGAACTCTATGGACGCTCAAAAGAGTCCTAGACTCTATGACCTCAACCCAAGTCCTAGATCTATGGACCCAAACCCAAGTCCGAGACTCTATGGACCCAGTCCATAGACTCTATGGACCCAAACTCCAGACTCTATGGACCCCAAAACCAAGTCCGAGACTATATGGACCCTCAAACCAAGTCCGAGAACTTATGACCCCAAAACTCCAAGTCCCTAGACTCTATGGACCCCAAACCCAAGTCCCGAGACTCTATGGACCTCAAACCCAAGTCCCGAGACTCTATGGACCTCAAACCCAAGTCCCTAGACTCTATGGACCCCAAACCCAAGTCCCTAGAGACCTCAAACCAAGTCCTAGACTCATTAATGGATCCCCAAACCCCGAGACTCGACCCCCAACCCAAGTCCGAGACTCTATGGACCTCAAACCCAAGTCTCTAGACTCTATGGACCTCAAACCCAAGTCCCTAGACTCTATGGACCTCAAACCCAAGTCCCGAACTTATGGACCCCAAACCCAACGTCCCGAGACATCTATGGACCGCAAACCCAAGTCTAGACTCTAGGACCTCAAACTCCAAGTCCTAGACTCTATTGGAACTGCCCCAAACCAAGTCCCGAGACTCTATGGACCTCAAACAAGTCTATGATCTAATGGACCTCAACCCAAGTGAGTATTATGGCGGGCCATCAAGTCCCCTAGACTACCTATGGACCTGACCTTCAAACCAAGGTCGCTAGACTCTATGGACCTCAAACCCAAGTCCCTAGACTCTATGGACCCCAAACACCAAGTCCTGAGACTCTAATGGACCCAAACCCAAGTCATTCTTCATGATTTCGGCGTCAATGTGGGGATTCCTCATCTGTGGGACATACACACTACTTCGTTTACATATCTCCGAATTGAACATCAGCATCGATCTTTTCGTGGGTGGCCCTGACTTCCTATATTTTGAGCTCGTATCTACAATACGAAAACCTTTATGGATAATGGTTCTGAGTTCGTGGATCCACCTTATGAAAGTTTACTTGCTTACTCGGATATCACCAGGTTCAGCTGCGAGCTTCTCGGATATTCTGGCTGATCCTAGACTCTATGGACCCCAAACCCAAAGTCCTCGAGATTATGGACGTCCAAGACCCAAGTCCCTAGGACTCTATGGACCGTGTGCGAGACTCAAGTCCTAGACTCTATGGACAATCCAAACCCCAAGTCACCGAGACTCTTAAATGGACCCAACCCAAGTCCCTGAGACTCATGGACCTCAAACCCAAGTCTTAGACTCTAATGGACCCCATAACCCAAGTCCCGAGGAACTCTCATCCGGACCCAATCCAAGTCCGCGAGACTCTAATGGACCCCAAACCCAAGTCCCGAGACTCTCATGGACCTCAAACCCAAGTCCTAGACTCTATGGACCCCAAACCAAGTCCCTCTATGACTCCCGGAGACTCTATGTCCCGAGACCTCCTCAAGTCCCTAGACTCTATGGACCCCAAACCCAAGTCCCTAGACTCTATGGACCTCAAACCCAAGTCCCTAGACTCTATGGACCTCAGAACTCAAGTCCCTAGACTCTATGCGACCTCAAACCCAAGTCCCGAGACTCTATGGACCTCAAACCCAAGTCCCTAGACTCTATGGACCCCAAACCCAAGTCCCTAGACTCTATGGACCCCAAACCCAAGTCCCGAGACTCTATGGACCTCAACCCAAGCCCTAGACTCTAGTACCCAAACCCAAGTCCGAAGACTCTATGGACCCCAACCCAAGTCCCGAGACTCTATGAGAACCTCAACCATCCCAAGTCCCCGGACTCTATGGACCCCAAACCCAAGTCCCGAGACTCTATGGACCCCAAACTCTAGTCCGAACTCTATGGACTCAAACCCAAGCTCCCTAGACTCTATGGACCTCAACCCAAGTCCCTAGACTCTATGGACCTCAAAAACCCGACTCCACCACCCAAGTCCCTGACTCTATGGACCTGCAACTCAAGTCCCAGAGACTCTATGGACCCCAACCCAAGTCCCGAGACTCTATGGACCTCAAAACCCAAGTCCCTAGACTCTATTGGACCTCAACCCAAGTCCCGAGACTCTATGGACCTCAAACCCAAGTCAAACCCAAGTCCCTAGACTCTATGGACCCCAAACCCAAGTCCCTAGACTCTATTGGAACCTCCAAACACCACAGTCCCTAGACTCTATGGACCCCAAACCGGCAAAGTCCCGAGACTCTATGGACCCTCAAACCGCAAGTCCCTAGACTCTATGGACCCCAAACCCAAGTCCCGAGGAACTCTATGGACCCCAAAACCCAAGTCCGAGACTTATGGACCTCTCCCTAGACTCTATGGACCCCAACCCAAGAGACTCTATGGACCCAAACCACAAGTCCTAGACCTATGGACCCCAAACCTCAAGCCCGAGACTCTATGGACCCCAAACCCCAAGTCCCGAGACTCTATGGACTCAAACCCCAAGTCTCCTCTAGTGGACCGCAAACCAATCCCTAGACTCTATGGACCCCAAACCCAAGTCCCGAGACTCTATGGACCCCAAACCCAAGTCCCGAGACTCTATGGACCTCAAACCCAAGTCCCTAGACTCTATGGACCCCAAACCCAAGTCCCGAGACTCTATGGACCCCAAAACCAACTCCTACTCTATGGACCCCAAACCCAAGTCCTAGACTCTATGGACCCCAAACCCAAGTCCCAGACTCTATGGACCTAAAAACCCAAGTCCCTAGACTCTATGGACCCCAAACCCAAGTCCCGAGACTCTATGGACCTCAAACCCAAGTCCCGAGACTCTATGGACCTCAAACCCAAGTCCCGAGACTCTATGGACCCCAAACCCAAGTCCCGAGACTCTATGGACCCCAAACCCAAGTCCCGAGACTCTATGACTCAAAACCCAAGCCCTAGACTCTATGACCCCTCAAACCCAAGTCCCTAGACTCTATGGACCTCAAACCAAACCGACTCCCACCAAACCCAAGTCCCTAGACTCTATGGACCTCAGACTCAAGTCCCTAGACTCTATGGACCCCAAACCCAAGTCCCGAGACTCTATGGACCCCAAACCCAAGTCCCTAGACTCTATGGACCTTCCCTAGACTCTATGGACCCCAAACCCAAGTCCCTAGACTCTATGGACCCCAAACCCAAGTCCCTAGACTCTATGGACCTCAAAACAGTCCTAGACCCTACCTCAAACCCAAGTCCCTAGGACTCTCTAGACCGGACCTCAAACCCAAGTCTCTAAACTCTATGGTAGCCTCCCCAAGTAGACCTATGGACAAACCCAACCTCTAGACCTATGGACCTCAAAACCACCAAAGTCTAACTCTATGGACCTCAACCCAACCTAGATTCTAGGACTTCAAACCCAAGTCCTAGACCTATGGACCTCAAACGCAAGTCCCTAGACTCTATGGACTCAAACGCCAAGTCCTAGACTCTACCTCAAACCCAAGTCTCTCTATGGACCTCAAACCCAAGTCCCTAGACTCCCTATGGACCCAAAACGCCACAGTTCCCTAGACCCAAAAACCCAAGTCCGTAGACTCTATGGACCTCAACCCAAGTCTCTATGGACCCCCAAACCCAAAGTCCCAAGACTCTAGGACCTCAACCCCAAGTCCCTAGACTCTATGGACCTCAAACCCAGTCCTAGACCTCTATGGACCTCAAACCCAAGTCTCTAGACTCTATGGACCCCAAACCAAACGAACTCCAGTCCCTAGACCTCTATAGGACTCAAACCCAAGTCCCTAGAGGACCCTCAATCCCGAAGTCCTAGACTCTATGACGCCAAACCAAGTCCCTAGACTCTATGGACCATCAAACCCAAAGACTCTCCCTCCCTAGAATCTTGGACCTCAATGGTCTAACGCTCTACTGGACCTCAACAGGTCGCCTAACTCTATGGACCTCAAACCCAAGTCCATAGACTCTATGGACCCCAAACCCAAGTCCCTAGACTCTATGGACCTCAGACCCAAGTCCCTAGACTCTATGGACCTCAACGAAACCGACTCCCACCAAACCCAAGTCTAGACTCTATGGACCTCAACCAAGTCTCGCAACTCCATAGCTCTCGCAACTCTAGAAAACTTTCCCGCTGTGCTTCGGCTTGAAAGCTTTTAGTCCAGATTGTTAAAGTGGTTTGCCAATTTGCCCAGAACAGTTTTGGAACCCGGGAATTATTGTTGTGCAACGGAAGTTACTCAACGGCCCTTTGTGGTTGGTGCTCTGATGTCAAGCTATGCACACGGGCTTAGAGGTGGATAGAGGGATAGAGGGGAGGTGGATAGAGAGAGACAGAGGGGAGGTGGATATAGAGGAGGGATAGAGGGAAGGGAGGTGGGAAGAGGAGGTGGATAGAGGATAGAGGGGAGTGGAATAGAGGGATGTGATAGATAGATGGAGGTGGATAGAGGGATAGAAGGTGGGAAGAGTAGAGGGAGGTGGAGATAGAGGGGATATAGATAGATGGAGGTGGATAGAGGGAAGAGGGAAGTGATAGAAGAGTCAGAGGGGGCGTGAATAGAGAGAAAGAGGGGAGGTGGAAAGAGGGATAAAGGGGAGGTGGATAGAGAGACAGATGGGAGGTGGATAGAGAGAGACAGAGGGAAGTTGTATAGAGACAGACAGAAAAGAGAAAGAGGGGAGGTGGATAGAGAAAAAGACGGGAGGTGGATAGACGAACAGAGAGAGGTGGATAGAGACTGAGGGGAAGTGGATAGAGAAACAGAAGGGAGGTGGATAGAGAGAGACAGAGGGAAGGTGAATAGAGAGAGACAGAGGGGAGGTGGATAGAGGGACAGAGTTATTGGTACAAATGGGAGGGATAGGTCGAATGGATGGGTAGAAAAGAATAAAGGAATTATAGATAGACGGGAGTGATAGACAGAAGAAAAAAGTGTAGAATGGAGAGAAAGAAAAAAAAGTAATGGGAAAAAATGATGAGTAGGCATGAAGCAAAAACTAGATTAGAAATAGATAAATAGATAAATAAATAAATAATGAAAATAAAATAAAAACAAAGGGGAAACAGAAAACGAAACACATTTTCAAATGCGTTAGGAAGCATTTAAAAATTAAAAGATGAATGGATCAAGAATGAGAAATATTGAGCAATACTCGTCGATCTCTAACTAGATTTCCCCCAGCTGTTCGGTTCATTGCGCAACCAATTAGCTAATTAATCCACTTACGTATATACTAAATGACAAGCCTCATTTATTACGAAAAAGAAAGAAAGCGAAGAAAAAGAAAAGAAAAAAAAAAGAAAGAAAAGAAAAAAAACTTACCTTCACAAACATAAAACACTAAAAACAGAAGAAAAAAAAAACAATAATAAAAAACACAAATAAAGCCCCGAGTCTTTTAGAATAAAAAGAACCCCCACGAGTTTATTTCGAAAGGTCTATCTATTTGTACAGCGTCCCCCTTACATGAAGACTTTCCAGAATTAATGCTCCTGGCCTCTGCTATGACAAGCTTAGCGAGGGGAGTAAATAAGCGTGGATTCACTTGTGGTGGGGAAGAACAGGGGGACAGGAAGGGTGAATAACTGACTCATGTTCTGCACAGAATACGTGAGGAGTGAACATATGGTCAGTGTTCGATTGGGCCACAGTGTTCAGTGATAGGTATGTTCCTCAAGTGGTTGAATATGGATGAATATGGGTGAATAACAGGCAGCTAATGAATAATAATGATAACAAAAAAAAATCAGACAGGCAATAGATGCAGTTGAACATCAAGTAGCTGATAAAAAACAATGCATAACAAACAACTAATAAATACGGATAAATAAAAGACATGAGAGAGAGAGAGAGAGAGAGAGAGAGAGAGAGAGAGAGAGAGAGAGAGAGAGAGAGAGAGAGAGAGAGAGAGAGAGAGAGAGAGAGAAGAGAGAGAGAGGAGAGAGAGAGAGGAGAGAGAGAGAGAGAGAAGAGAAGAGAGAGGAGAGAGGAGGAAGAGAGAGAGAGAGAGAGAGGAGAGAGAGAGAGAGAGAGAGAGAAGACAGAGAGAAGAGAGAGAGAGAGAGAGAGAGAAGAGAGAGAGAGAGAGAGAGAGAGAGAGAGAGAGGAGAGAGAGAGAGAGAGAGCAGAGAGAGAGAGAATGAAGACAGAGACAGAGAGAAGAAAAAAAACAAGACACAAAAATCAACCAAACAGCAGAAAACCAACACGAAACCACAGGACAAACCCTCACCCAACAAAACCACAGAAAAAAATAACAAAACAAACCCCTTAAAATAAGACAAACCCAGAATCTAAAGAAAGCCAAGAGGAAACCCACCCCAGTGACAGCCAAGAAAATAGAGAAAAAAAACAAAAAACAAAACAGAAGACCTTCTTGTCCATGCGTTCCCTTACTCGCCACAGAGCCTGACGAAGGAACCAGCACTGAAGACCCGAGGAAACTGTAAACCCCTCGTGGCATTTCTCCTGACGATGGCTCAGCAGAGGGTACGCCAGAGGTTCTACGTGGAATATGAAATAACTGCAGATGTTATAGCATGTTTATCCTCCTCTGGTTAAGATAATATTTTCTTTGTATCATCAACGTAAGTCTCCAAGATAAAGGATTGTTGAAATAGGTTTGAAGGTTCGAGTTACAATGTTGTTAATATATCAGTTATTCGGAAGTTGTGAGAGATACAGGACATTATGATAATGCTAATTATGATGATGATGATACTGCTGATGGCAATAATGATTGATAGTTATTTAGACAATTGTAATAATAATGATGATAATGTTTATGATGACAACAGAAATAATAACAATAATGATACTGATAAGGATGATAATAACAATAACAATGATAATGATAATAATAATGATGATGATGATAATAGCAATGGCAAGAATAGTAATAATATCAATAATTAATGATGATAATAATAATAATGATGATGATGATGATAATAATATGAATGATAATAATGATAATAATAAAAGTAGAAATAGTAATGATAATAATAATAACAACAATAAGAATGATAATAATGATAATAATAAAAGTAAAAATAGTAATGATAATAACAATAAGAATGATGATGATAATGAAGATATTAATGATAATAACAATAATAGTAATAGAAATAACACATAATATTGATAATGTTAATAACGATGATAAAAAAATAATAATAACAGTAATGATAATCACAACAACAAAACAACAACAATAAATATAAAAATGATAGCGATAACAGTAATAATAACAATGATGGGGATTACAATAACAATTATCATTACCACTATTCTCTCAACGAAAAGGACAATGGTAACAGCAATGACAAATCAACAGTAATTAAAAAAATGATAATGATAATAATGATAATAAACAAGCATGACAGTAACATACAAACAAACGTACACAGCTAAACATTTGATTCAATTTCTGTGAATCAAACGAACCTTTTTTTCTCCCCCCACCCCACCCCCCCCCTCCCCCAAAAAAAGGAAAAAATTCTCTTTAACGAAACAGACAAAATAACGACGTTCTCGAGTATTTCGGCCTGTTAGCTCCCAGTGCAGGTCGGGGTCACAGGGTACGCTAGACTGGGATGTGAAATTTCTCGGAAAATTTGGTCCCTACGTCAATTCTGGCTTGGTAGGTTGCTCGCCAAAATGACGGGAAATCAATCCAATGATGTGTGCGTTTAACCTGCACGAAAGTCGGGAAGAAGGTGAGAGAGAGAGAGAGAGA